ATACATAAGTAATTTCAAAGACCGTAGTGCTTATCACGCTGCGCTGACAATGCAACGCTTGCCAGAAAAGGCAAGTGTTTCCAACGCTTTGCTAAGACGAAATGGTGGTGGCACCTACCCGTCGCCTTGCGTTCTATACCTTATCGCCTCCGAGACGGGCGCGCATGCCGTGCGCTTTGTTTTCCAAGATAACTGCCAGATAGCGCTCATGTCTCACGTGTGACGTGGCTTGATGCACTCGCTCGCCTCCCATGCACGCTCGAGGCGCTCTAACGCAGTGCCTCCAGAATACAATTCACCAATTTTCTTACACAGAACATCAAATAAACGTTTTGTTCATTCTCTCCAGACGCAAGACTATCGTCTTTCGACGACATTGGCAGTGTGACAGGCAGATGTTGGACCAATTTTTCTTTCTGCTTTTTTCTTGCTTTTCCCTTTTTTTTCGCTGACTGCTTCCCGCGATTATGAATTCGCCAATGCTCACACAAGGTCAGCGTGACGGCGAATGATCGCAAGCGCATGTCATCTCACTAGTGCCAGCAGCTGTTTTCGGATATATGGTTGATATACAGGACTACGTAGAACTCCATAGAGATCCGAGCAGTCAGTGTCACGCGGTTAGGAGCAGAACGGTCTCCAACTGCATCAGTGAGTGAAACTTGAAGATAAACATAGTGTTAACATATTAGCACCAGTTCTTGAAAAAGTTATACCCTTTCTAAAGGGAACCATGTGGGGATGCGAAGCAGCTCTGGTGTTCACTTGTGTTTTCATTTGTATTTTCTCGTATGTGTTTCATTTGTGTGCGAAGTTGTGTATATGTTTCCCTTTGCGTGCATTGCCATATGCCTGCCGCAAAGTGAACACCCAGCGCTGCTAACTGAGTGAAATGGAGCAACCAAGCGCACCATTATACACGAGCACGCATTCGCGCTCCTATATAAACGTATATAAACAGCGGAGAGGTAAACGGGAGAGGTGAAACGAGGCGGAGGCAGCGCTCTGTCACCTCCTCCGCCCCACATCCTCGCGTGAGCGCAAGGAGAAGGGAGAGAGTGGGCGCATACGCAGTGGGAGGGTGGATGGTCGCTGAGGGACGCACACAGCAACAAGCATAATCTGCTTGGTATTTAAAAAAGCCAAAGCAGAGGAATAACGAGCCCCTCCAACAATTCCTTCTTTCATATTTTCATAGCGAGGGCTTCGTCCCGGTAGAGTTGATGCCTTAGGTAGCATGCGAATGTTTATTGGTTAACCGCCACCTCGTTTACACATCACGTGTCCCGTCCTTTGATGTAATAAAAGTGTTCCACACTCGCCGCCTGAGCTAAGAATGGCGCTGGCTTAGACTCCAAGGTAATAAGCACACATAAATACCCAACAGGAATCTGGACAAGGGAGCACCCTTTGTTGTAGCTCAAATGGTAAAGCATCAGACACGTAATTTTATGGTTGTGAAAGCGAACCCACCCACGGGAAGAGTGCTTTTTTGTCCTCTTTAATTTCTTTTTCACTTGAGGAAACCATTTCATTCTTGTTAAAAATCAGAAATATTGTTCCCTGTACTTTTCTTGCCTTCATTGACTGTCAATTTCATTCGTCTATAATTTTGAAGAGAGGCGACTACAGACATTCGTAGGCATTTATTCAGAAATGCCAAAAATAGGCACATAAGTACTTTAGAAGCCCTGAACTTAACTGATCCTTTTCATCTAATTCATACTGATGTAACAATAAGTTGCGATAGAAATGCAAGGAACAAAATGGTCATATGCCTAAAGTTCAGTTTGTAGTTACAACAACTTTGCCTCTAATAGTGCTCTTCATAAGAAGTGGCTTTGAACTGTTCGGCTACTTGACTCAATCAATCAATCAATGTTTCTTTATTAGCATCAGAAGTGTACATTGTAAGTAAGTATGCAGGAGGAGGTCCCAAGGTAGTAAACCGCAGGCGGGACCTCCTATGTTATTACAATGAAAAAGCTAAAATATGATTATCGAAAGAGCAAGTCATGGAACATTTTGAACTTTTTTTTCTACAAACAAAGCAAGATTTCAAAACTTAACAAAATCTAGCAGTTATACGTTTAATAGAGACTTTTTGAATTTCCTCTTAAAAACATGAATGTGCAATAAGTCTTTCACATCATGTGACAAAGAATTCCATAATGAAATTGATGAAAAAACAATGCTCATTTTTCCATAATTAGTGCGAACTTTAGGTAATAACAGGTTATGGGCGACCGCGAATCTAGTGTTATTGGAATTATCCAACAAGGTAATAGGAAAGATGTCGATAGTGAGGGTACGGTGGAAAATTTTGAAAAACAAAACACACATTGTAAACGTACATTTGGGAGATCGGTAATACGTCAAGCTGGCGAAAAATCTCATGTGATGGCGCTTGACGTTATGAGTCGAATTGCTTGTTTTTGCAGTACCTTTAACGGCCAAATGTGCACCGAATATGAATTACCCCAAGATGTAATGCAATAACTGAGATGAGTGTGTATGAATGCATAATACAATGCCTTAATACAATGCCTCAATACTAGTTTGACAATAAAGAAATAACAAAAATAACAACAATTGAGCATAAAGGGCTCCCTTCACTCCGGACTGCTGTAACCCAGCTTGCGCTTCAGCCTCGCAAAACCAGGCTACTTTAGGTACCTGAAAAATTACACTGGGCATACGCTGTTCGCGCACACGAAGCACAGCCAGCGAAAAGGCGGCGGCCACGTGGTGGTGTTACTCGAGCTATGCCGAACATAAATACATCAGACATTTATCATGCCTATTGTACGGGGGTCTAGTTTGTGTTAATGTGCGCGTATATAGCGAAACCTGAAGGACTTAACTCAAAGCATACACTCAGTTGAAACCACCATGTTGCGAGAGCAGCAGAAACATGCTGTGTTGGCAAATGCAACTGATTATGTGAAGAAATGCTGTGCTGATGTGGATGTATTCGTGGCGCGTACAGTTTTCGTAGAGGTAAATGGGTCAATTCAATGCTAATCAGCACATGCCACTCTCTTTTCCACCATTTTCGGTGTGTTGGGAAATTAGTAAACACTGGGTAGGTTCCGGAGCCGAAGTTTAGACAAGTGGAGTTATATCTTTCAAAGTGCTGTTGTTATCGGCCTCCATGTCTTGGCGGTGCTTGAACGCGTGGGATCGTTTTGGCTAAATCTACACTTATTTGTTCTGACATCGCAACGCTCCCAGAGATGTGCGGCGCTTATATACGCTTGGTCGCTACAGACGCCTACGAGCGTATATAGCGAGCAAGCGCATGTACGTGCCGCGCATCTCGGGCTTTCTAACCCCATGGAGGGAAGCCGGTCTGGCTTCAAAACGTTCGGTTTCTCAATATAATTTTTTGTTGGAGTTATCTAACTGCCTCATTCTGTCCCAACCAGCAGACTTCTGCCAAATGTTCACCTTTGATGCTTAGAAAAAGTGGTCACCACTGCGCTGCTTTGTTCATCAAGGTATGCACCAGCCAATGAGCCGAGCATCTGGGATCAGTCTTCAGGAATGTTTCCCACGTTCCGTTGTGCCTTCTCGTCTTCATTTTCCACACACCGTCGCCTTCCTGGCACCTTAACGACATCGATGAATCAACACTGCACGTGGGACACCACTCTATTTCACTGTGCTGCGTCGAGCGGTATAATCGCGATCTGTCTGGTGTGGCGCTTTTTTACATTGCCGTGGGACGAACAAACCTTGCATCTTCCTTCTTTACTGAGTTGGGAAGGAGGAGGTGTTTGACCTTTCTAGTTTGGGGGCGGAAATGAAGACGACAATTTCATTGGACTGTATCTGGACTCAATTGTGTTGCCCTGCAGGGAATCTCGGGAATACGCAGGTTATAAAATGTGAGCGTCGAGACGCAAAAATGGATGATATACCATCATTCATGTAGTATTGCGCAACCTTCAACCTGTAAATTACTGTAGGTAAACGTTTTTGTTACCAGCTCCAGTTCCTTTTCACCCTGAGACTTGAAAGACTCTGGTCCTGGATAATGAAAGGCTCTGGTCCTGGACAAACAGACAAATGTATACAGACAGACAGACAGACAGACAGACAGACAGACCAACATTTTTGCGTCAAACTTCCCCAAGAAAAACTATAAAAGAGAATGCTACAAATGGCGCTTAACTGTCATCTTGCCGCAGCTCAATGCACTCGCGTGGGCCCCGTCAGCTGCAGGTTCACATGGCGACGGGTCAAAAGTGAACGGTAATCCTTCAGCACTGGCATCGCCGCTGAAATCGCAACTGTCAAGTTTCGAGAAGCTGGCACAGCTCGCTGCATCGTCGAATGACTTCACCGATTTGTCTTTTTTGGCACTGGCACCAGTCATGTAGACGTCGTACGAAGCCGCTACCCATCCCGCTTCGGAACCATGCATTTTTTTAAAATTATTGATGCGTTTTTAAAAGCAAATTTGCAGTATTGTCAATACCTTTTCGAAACGACAATATCAAAATATGGTGAAAAGAACTTCGAAGAGGCTTTCGTTAACAATCGGAGATGTCCAGTTGTACTTCGTAAGAGCAAACGATGATCGAATATGCTCGGCTAACAGGAAACGTAGCGGAAAATTAGGAATTTCTTTTGACCTTATTATTTACTCCTACCATAGCGTGAGGAGGCAGCTAAACAGGATGTTTTTCTGATTAACCTCTGTTTCCTTACCCTTCTCATTTATCGTTTTTTCTCCCCTCGTTATTGGCCTCCGTTCGGCAGCTCCCTCACGAGAGTGTCGATGAGCGCCCACGCTCGTGCGATTCGTGGGAACGGTTCCGCACCATGTTTACGACGCGAAATGTGAGCGCCGCCGCCGACGGTGATATCCCACTTGTTCGCACGGGCCGCGTTGCCGACCAGCAAGCCTCCCGCAGGAGGGAGCACCCGGCTGCATGAGAGGAGCATTCCTCCGAAGGCGGCTTTTTATAGGAACTCGGTCGGTCCCAGCCGGAGGCACGCGGCCACGGGCTCGCGAAGAAACACACACTGTGGTTGTGCGGGTTTGTGTGTGCGTGCAGAAGGGGAAATTACGGCTATTGGACATTGGTCGCTTGCCACCCAGGACAACGAGCTCGTTCGGAGCGCAGCCATGCGAGAGGCCCTCGGACGCGGTTAGCGTCGCGTTTCTGCTCCGTCGTCGCGGCGGTCTGTCATCGCGCGTTTGTGCGGCGTGCCCTTGGCGATGACGGCGGTGGAGAGTGTGGCTGCGGCCGTCTACCAGCAGCCGTCGCCACCAGGCCAGCTCCTGAACTTGGTCTACCTTACCCTCGCCGATCAGACGCTGCACACCGTCGATCAGGTAACAATGGGATGACGCGCGCTTCCCAGAGCTGATGCTGCGTGAGTGCCGTCGCCGCCAGAGCGGCTGACGTGACGCGACTCGGGTAACAGGTTGCAAACACGACGTGAAGCGCAAGAGAGCAGCGCTAGTCACAGACGGAGAAGGTTCGTTGTGAGACGCAGGGCTTGCGCCACTGGTGAGCTGCCTCGATTTATCCCTGTTTTTACAGGCAGATCCGTTGGCATTAACGATGAGTTACAATAGTAACCTGTAGTAGGACGTACAGAAAATTGCGAGTTTCAAACAATGCACGTTTTACCTGCAGGGTCAGTTTCTATTGTTTAGCGCGGGAGTCCTGAGTAGCTTCTTGCGATGAATTCTGCTGTGTATGGCACTGATTCAATGCTTTTGAGTTGTACACGCTATTCAGTTATTCGCTCACGTTAATAGAGGTTTAATCTATTCAGTATACCTAAACATAGCCCAGCTACAGCTCTGGCATTTCTGTGTTTTTTGTGCATTTAGCGTTCATTCTTGAATTGCAAGGCTTAACAGAGAAATTATTGTATCACTATTGAGTTCAAACTGTAGTATTTCTATGGCGATGAAGGCTTCGAGCAAGAAAAGAAACTGCATTTGAAAATTACAATAGGAACAAATAGTTGCCAGGGGTTTTTATGCGTTGTTGCTGAACATCTCTAAGTGCCACATGGCTACACTGCTGAGAGCACAAAGTGCATTTTTGAAGGACTTTTCCCACGGGCACATTAGGACATTAAACGGCGTCATCTGAAATATTTTGAGTTGCATCATCGAGTACCACTAAATTGATCGTTTTATTGAGAGTACTCTGAAAAGCGGCCGATGTCGCCTTAGGTCTGTGATAAGAGAATGAGTTTACAAAAAGTTGTGTTTCAATTGTTTCTAACTGATAACTTCGGCCCCATCCTTACGCTGGGCATACTGTAACCGTCCTTCTCCCTAACGGCATAACGAAGCGGCTGTCAGCTTAAAAAGTGGCAGTCAGTGTGAAAAGTTGCGTAAGAGGGCAGCGTTAAAAGATTTACGACAGTGTAAAAAGATAGCATAAAGAGAAAGCTTTGTTAATTCGGTCCCTGCTTAGCTGGACGTGCCACAGTATCGATGGTGCATGGCGAGTGTGTTGTCCCCGTGTGCAGGTCAAGTACAGCATGCCACCGATGATGGCCCCTTCCGCATACTCCGGCGAAAGCTACTGCGGCGCGTACACTACGGCCAGATACTCAAATGAATACTCCGACGGCTACTACACGGAATATTCCCCCCGAGGAACGTTCACTGAGCTGACAGAACGATTCTCTGAGCTCATCCTCGGGGGAGGAGGTGACCCCAGAGCTGCGAGACAGCCTCCTCCACCAGAATACCTTTGCCATTTGTGTTTTTGCAAGGGGCACTACATCAAGGACTGTCCACAGGTAAGCACTGGCTTTTCTTTGCTGCCACGACTCCGAACTAAACACTTCTATACAATACTTGCGAGGTCGCTTCACGTATCTTGTCAGAAAGGGTCCTTGCACATATCTGATAGAGATCGTCATGACAGTGGAACCCATTTGTGCGATTGCAAAAATAGTGGAAGCTCCTTTTCCCGAAGCACAGTTCATTACTTATTATGCGTATGTTTTTGTAAATAAATTTAGATGTGCAAATTTTCGCGGCACCGCGATACCACATGCCCCATAGTGTAGATGGTGGTGAAGTGTATAGGGTTTTAGAGCTCAAGAACAGCACCCACGAACAAATACTGTTAATAAGGCCTTTTTATTTTGATTCGGCACCTAATGAACGAGTAGGATTATATGCGACAATTGCTGCACGGGACTATTTGAGATCATCCTCTGCATAGGATAAGTAAACGCAATGCACGCAGGCACGTCCGAAAGGAGAAGGCCTTACGCCGTACCAGGGCAAGAAGCGTTGCTTCGGCGAGTACAAGTGTCCCAAGTGCAAGCGGAAGTGGATGAGTGGCAATAGTTGGGCCAACATGGGACAGGAATGTATTAAGTGCCACCTCAACGTTTATCCGCACAAGCAGGTAGGTTCGCATGCCTTTTTTAGCCACTTCAGAATGTGAATTTCGAAACAATTTGCTTGATATGTGTGCGCTCAAGGGGTAGTGACATTTGCTTTGATAACTATGTTGTTTGGTGGTACTAAAATCAAAAAGTGTGCATTTGTCTAAGACACAGAAACATCTTCAAGTTTTTTAACAGAAATTTCTACCGCAAGTTTAGTGGCACACAATGCCCATTTTTCCTTCAGAATATTTGAATATGCCATCTCAGAGCACACAACAGACGGAACTTGCTCTTTACAAAAACCATTGTAGTAATATAGGAGCTAATGATGACGTTTTTCATTGTTCGATTTGGAGCAGTTTTTTTTGGCGGGGGGGGGGCGTGTCGTGAATATAATGTTCCCTGGGCGATATGGAAAAAGGTTCGGCCTTTTCTCTGGTTGTTTCAAATTTACTCGCTCTGCGCCGGATCACTGTTACCTGCTCTGGCACCTGTAGTTGTGGATTCGGGCGGAAACGCCTCAGGTTGCTTGCATCACATCCGCCGTGTCTTGTATCTGTTGGGAAAATGGCGGCTTCCGCAGCTGCCATAGCAGTAACTGCTTTCGCCAGTTTGTGGCACGTGATCACAGACCTCCTCTTTGCTCCCTCGCATAGTGTTCTTGCGTTTAGATTCGTGATATCAGATAGCCCACGCCAACATTTCGGTGGCCACACTAAATCGACCATTCAAACAGGCCTCAAGTTGGAGCACTAGATTTTTGCTGTCACAATTAGAGTCATATTGAGATGTTTATTGTGGAGATCGTAGAAGATTTTGCGTCTTTGTGCATTTAGGAGCAGCAGTTCGTAGGCTAGTTGCATCGATATCCCTTTTTTACCCTTGTGACACCTAGGACAGAATTATTGCAACCCCCAAAAAAGCTACCTAAATTTTACCCCTGTAAAACTTTTTGTTGTTTCGATGGGATGATTTATCGTCAGCCTTTTTTGATATTGGCGGCTTCTGCTTAACTATATCCTGAAATTCACTTTGATATGAATAATATTTATAGGGGGTGCGCGTAAACAAGTGGGCACATATATTCTTTTTCTTTTCATAAGTTGTTCCATTGACCAGTTACCCTATTTAAGATACGTTACTCATCAGATTTACCTAGAGTTTTCTCTGAAAAGTAATCCAAGCATGTTATCAGAACACCTGCTGAAATGCCATCCCACATTCCTAGAAAAAAAAAAAGAAAATGTGCGAGAGTAATGCAGCAAGAAAGCAGCTCTACTAACGTGAAGCCATAGAGTTAATATACTGACTCTACAGGAAAAGCTCTCCATAGGGCCCATGCATCAAAACCATTCAAACCAATAATCACTCGAGTTCCGCCATGATGGAACGACACTCAGCTTTCAGGTGACGTTAACTCGTACTCGTCACAGCCTGCTGCAATAATCTGTCGTATTTTTTCTGTGTCATGGATCTCTCTTGCAATGCAGGAAGAAACTGTGAAATGAAGTCGAGCGTTTTGCTCATGGCAACAAAAAACGTGAAGGACATATACGGCACTGTGTACGACTCACTCGGCGCGCAGGCAAGCCGGCGCAATAGGACGCATGCCGCACTGCCATGCTCTGAGGCACAAAGATGGTGGCGCCATCTACTAAACAAACTTGCAAACGCTCTATTCGGTGCGCAGTAAATTGCATAATGGCCATTGTATCTTTTGTAAAAGTAATTGGTAGAAACCTGTCATGCATTGAAAGTTTGTTTTTATTAGGTGGGCACGTTAATTTATGACTTCTACAGCTAAATCACCAAGCTGTACACCACCCGCCGTGGTGTACAACACCAAGCTGTACACCACCCGCCGTGGTGTACAGCTTGGTGTTCTACTTCGAAGCTCAAGGGCACAGGTTCGATACTCGGCCAGGGTGACCAGAAATGCATGAACACCCGTGTACTTAGATTTTGGTGCGCGTCAAAAAGGCCTATGTGGTGAAAATAATGCAGAGTCCTTCGTTACGGCGTGCCCCATAGTAATGTCACGTTTCGGTGCGTAAAAATGGATAACTTGACTGTTTGTCAACCTACAGAGCTTCATGAGCCTACTCTGTGTGCGAATTCATGCCTTGCAGGGCTCCTTCTGCGCCATCACTTAAACAGCAAATGCAAAAAAATGGACGTGTGCTAAAAACAATTTAAATTTGATAAAATCACTGGTACAAACTCTCTCAGGTTGCTTTTATAGTGCACAATAACAACAAGAATGCAAAATAAAGATGTAGCCAGTTCTTTGCTATCTTTGTTTTTTATTTGGGGTTATAAAACGCACATTATTTACCAACATGCCCGACTATACGCTTTTTCAGTGGTTGACGTGTCATAAATGAGTCTGACTCACATTCAATGTGTCCGAATCGCACACTGAGTGACCATTGCTTAGACTTCCGCCTTTTATCAAACCAGCGCACATCAAATAAAAGTTAAGCGGAATTCCCTCAGAAATCTCGTTAGACAACATACGCCTCGGGGAAAAAAGAAGTGTGAGCATTCATGTGGAACCGTGTGCAGAGCGGATCATACAATACTCAAATTTCAAAGACTGTTCTATAGTTTGATTTTTAAGAGTGCCGCAGTGAAATTTGTGTTGGTCGGTACACATAAGTTACAAAACTCGTAAGCACACACAATGAAACTAGAACGTTCTTATGTTGTCAACCACTTAACCTAATGCAGCGCTAAATAATTGATGCAATCATAATGTCCTTTTGATTTAAGACATTGAATGAAGCTAAGACATGAATGTTTTTAAAGAAAACAAAATAAACCAAATAAAACAGAAGAGTCTCACCAGAGCAAAAGCATTCATTCAAATGTCTTCAGTCAAACATCGTTTGAGCGTTTTGACTCTTGCTGGTTAAACAACGTGATGCCATGCTATCATCGCTGCGTATATGTAGCCTACCCGTACTCTCATAACTTTTTTCGCCTGTCGTTATCATATGAACCCTAAACCACCCCGACGTCAAATACGAAAGAACAGTTTTCTTTCTCGCTTTCCCGATCCTTCCTAGAGGTGCTCTTTCCTCCTCACGACTTATTAACAAAACGCACACACAAGACACGTGAACATTGTCAGCATTAGGCGTGAAGCCTAATATGATTTTTGTCTTTCAAGCAACACGCTCTATTCTCTGCTTGAGCAGTCGAAATCGCACTAAAGGAAGCTAAATCAGTTGATCAGTCGTGATGGTCGAGTGTGTAAAGCGGTGCGACTGAACGTTAAAGCACGGTAGGAGACAATTTACGACAGATAATTATATGGAGTAACAAAGAAGACGCATGCTAAATAAGTCATGTTAATGACTTTGCTGGCCTAAGGAAGTGCACTGAAGAAGCGGGAAACGTCACGAGAGAATATGGCGCTCATTTTTTTGTATTTTCAGTGTTTGTTTAGAGGTTCTTTTAGTTAAAAGCAAATCAATTTGAGGCACTTGTTTCCTCGTTCTTTTTTGTTTTTATAAGTGCACACAAACTTTCTGGCTGTTTGTGTTCATGAAGGCAAAGCTAAGGCCACTGAAAAAATGGGGATTCGGACTAAATGCTCATCATTTGGTCAACAGGGGCCAAATTTACATAACTTTTCTTTCTTAAGTACGTTTTCCCATCGCTCAGCCCGCTTCACTTGTTTTAGGTTGCGCATGACGATTGGCCGTGATGTTTTCTTCTGAAAATTGTCTATTTAAGATGCTCTTGGGAATACAGGCCCAGTTCCATTGCTTGTTTGAGTTTATCTCGATTTAAGTAACATCACTTCTACTATATCATAGGTACAAACATGCACGCTCATTCCGCAATGAAACATCCCTGGTGCCCACGACATTGTGCTCCTGCTGATGCTAGCTGTTGGAAGCCGCAATGATCCGACTATGCTTCTTTCACTTCAAAATGGATTTTTTTTGCAGTTTTGACGAAACATTAAACATGCATTGTCATGGTGCTGGAGCAAAAGGCATGTTAATACACGTGCTACTACGCTCCTGGCACCACAAGTGCAACAGGCGACAGCGGACAACTGCAAGAAATGAAAAACACATACATATGCCTGCCTAATTTACATGTTTTGGCATAATCACAAATAACAACGCTAGGGATATTACTTCAGTACAGCATAACATTGTCAATAAAGCGAATAAACACAAACGTAAAACTAAATATTTATAATAGATATACATAGAGACACTCTTCTTTAATATTTGGAGACATACATTTTTGACAATACAACAACAAATGAATAAATGAAAAGAGTAAGAATGACATGATATAGCACTCGAACAAAGCAAGTTATTTTCCGAAATATAGATCTGACGGTCGGGTCTTCGAAATGTTGTGCATTGAATACCTTGAAACACAGTGCTTATTTACTGGGCCCGTAAACTACCCAGAGGTCGACTTTCAGTTTTGGTGAAGCAATTATGCACGAGTGTAGACGAACATGGAACCCTGAGAATTTTTTCGAAACGGTGCATTAATAGCGGAGTTAGACGCATTTCGTTGTCGAAACCGTGACGGCCACATCTTTCGCTCTCTCCTGTGCTTCCCTCCGTTGGCATCCTTTCCCCGCCATTTAGCCCTCTCACCGGGCGCCCCTCTCATTCCCCTCCCAATCTCGCGTGGCATACGTCATTGCTGACGCACTGCTTGAAACACCATCTACTTCCGGTTGCCACAACTACTGCCGTCGATTACGTCAGTTGCGTGCTTGTTGGAGAACTGTGGCTGTGTAATCGTGCCGGTATGAACCCTGTGTTGCTCGCACGCCTTCAAGGGATCGCCAACGCGATGGACCCGTACGGGTACACGCACTGTCCCACACGTGTGGCACGCACGTGGGCAAGACTTGCAAGAAGCAGCACGGACAGCTGGTTGAAGACTGAACGAAAGTCGTAGGCTTTCGCTCGACCACTCACAGCATATTTGGTTCGGCGCGTCAGAGATGTGGCACGGCGCGTCCCGCGGAGGCCTGGAAGGCCCAGGAAGGAGGAGGGATCGTTTCTTGGAATTTTGTGGTGCGCCGGCGGCTTGTAGCGCTGCCACGTGTAGAATCGTTGATCGCGGCAGCATTCTGTACACGATGCGTGCGCTTACTTGAAATGCTTGAAAAATATCGGAGGTGGTTTACGGGCCCTTCAAGCCTTCGACACAGCCTAGCGTGGCTACTACGCAATACTTTTGGCTCCATCAGTACACATGGTGTGAGCATGCAACAAAATATATATTTTTTTGTTCCATGATACGAGAAAAAAAAACATTAACTAGGCGTAGTCTCTGCTTCTGCATAGTTAATCAAAATGCTGCGTGCTACATAATGCAAACGCATTTAGTACGGTACGTTGCATGAATGCGCTTTACTCTGCGATGCAAATATGATGTACCAACCACGAAACTCTTCGTCTTATAGAAGTCCCTGTCGCAGTGCGTTGTCGGCCTAAGCCAAGAACAACGTTAAGGCACACAGCTACTTTCGTGGACGCTGCTGCTTGCGTCATATATTTAACTATTATTGGAATAGTTCTCGAGCATTCTGACAATGTACGTCCACTACCATACTGTCTGTACACAGTGAGCCACACGAAATCTTGCCATTCATATAAAAATGTGCTTCTGTGCTAAGTGCTATAAGTGTTAAGAATGGGTACAAAAAATACTACTGTTTGGGTGAGCTTGCAGCAGAATGAGCATGCAAAGAAAGTGCTTGATAGCTTACAGAGCAGAGGCAAGTCCAAATGGGGCTTCAGGGTCGAAGTGTGTCTTTAAGGTGGTCGTACCACTCAGGAAAAAAATAACTGCACCTATTGATTGCCGACACCCAATATTGTTAAGTTGCAGTAAACCCGACGACGCCAGCCTCATATAGATTCTTTTAGAATGAACTGGTATTCTACTCTCTCTCCTTCCCTAGCCATAGCCACGAAACTTCACTTTCTTCACTTGAGGTATCTGGTAGCTCCCCACTTTGTTTTTTAACACGAAAGTGTTTCTTGCTGGGTTACACTAAAACGTCACTGATGTCATTTTTAGTTATGTTAGTGAAATGCAGGCGAATAGTTGACAAAAATAATTTAGAAGAAAAAGATTCGTTAACTTTGATGACTTGTGAGTCGGACCTATCAATGTGTTGGTCCATAACAGTAGGTGCCTGGTGCACGACTGGGCAGTCAACGCATCTACCCGAGGATTTACCAACACGCCTTGTATTTCTCGCACTTTCAGCGTGGGTATAGATGCCAGTGGAAAGTGGATCCTGATCGCGCATTCACAGCTCGAGCTACGAGCTCTGTCTCTCACCTTCCTGAAGGGCTGTGTGGTGGTTTATACATAGGTGGAGACATAGGTTACAACACCAAATTCTGGTGGCCCGGTCGGTACATACTCGGCATGAAATAGTGTGCTTAGGGGGAACAAAACGCTACAATAAGCACACATAAGTTTGCTTCTTGTAACTTTTTGTCTCGTCCTAAAACGCTGTTTTAAGCAGGTTACCCTATTACTGGAAAGCGTATGCCTTGCCACTTCTCTCATAAAACGACGACGCTTTGAATGAGTGCATATCAAGTGTCAGTGTTCATTATGTGCTGGGTGATGTCTTTTCGCGTGATTCATCATATGCTGCGCCCAGGAGTATTGTTAAAATTCAGCTACCCCAAAGCAATCATAACAATGCGTTTTTGTCATCGGGATGGAAAAGCCTGCACACGGTGCTCACGTCGTTGTGTGCATGTTAATGGTAATATAGCTGCCAAACACCGATTGTCACTGTGTAACGTGTAATTAAAGAACACCACTCAAGCACTCTGTAGATATTGGTAACCAACAAAAGCTAAAACGTGTGGCCCCGGTGTTTAGCAGTGGGTTCAACCCGACGCTGCAAGGTCTTTCACAATTATTGGTTACATGTTCCCGCTTCCTAATGAAGATTAGACACACCTTTGTCTTGGATTTACCACAGTGTTTATTTGACATGCTGCTTAGTGTGGCTCGCATGATTGTGATCACCGAGGATTGTAATGAGTGGTTAAATGCGTTTTGAAATGAGTTGATGACAGTGGTATTTCTCGAGCAACAGGTGGTCACAGATGTCGCAGCCGTAGTGAAAGTG